CTAAGCACACAATAGTTTCAACAATTTGAACAAAGAGTACAGGGAGCTCCCAGTCCCAGCAGCATTGTCTTAGAAAGTTTGATGAAAACTTAAAATAGCTCCCTAAAATTTTTTCGTCACTAGCTTTCCACTGAAATGGTTTACTTAGCTTTGTTTTAAGTTCAAACAAGAAAGTACAGAGAGTTCCCCAGGCTCAGTAGTGTCTTAGAAAGTTAACAATAATTACGAGGTATACCCAAGTTTAACCCTTTTAGGGGCAGCGATTACTAGAGTGGACAGCTATTCACATTGTTTTCTCTTATTTCAATTAATCTTCAAGTCAGTTGTGCATCAACCACTACAATGGACTCTGATGTGTGTTGCCATCCACTGCCATTATATTTTTGCTTGCCTCAAGATGAGCAAAATTTTTAAAAAAGACCAATACCACATGTCTCAAAATGCCAAATATGGTCGCTGTCTATCCGAGCATCTATGTGGACGAGTGTAGCCTGAAACATCATCCATCAAAGTGTGTATAAAGTAGGCAGCTTCTTTTGCAAAGGCAAACTGGGCTCAAAATACATTTCGATATATATATTGGACAGACAAAAAATATATATAATTTAGGGTAATTGTATCATCCTAGTAAACATTTTGTTGTGAAGAGTCAGGAAAGAAAAAAAAAACTACTACCATTTTGCTTTGAAGGTTTCATCTTAACAGACACATACACAATTGAGTACCCAGAAACACAAAGGGTATGTAGTGTGCTCAGAGACACAGCCAAAGGGCCAATATTATTCCGAGGTTTTATGGACTGCTAACATGAGTGCCTCTTGATGGACCAGATGGGCTGGCCCATGTGTGGACAAGTAACAGGCGCAGAGCTCCACTTCAAATCGGATGCCAGAGAATCAGGACCGATCACCAACCTGCCATTTTTTTAAAGACACTTTCTTCAAGCACTGGCTACATCTTTACACCGCAGTGTTTTTTTTTTTTTATGCAGGACAATGCTCCAGCGAACACACTTGAGCCCTCCACAGCGTAGCTAACCAGTAAAGGCCTTAAAGATTAAAGAATAATGACACGACTCACGGCCTCATCCGACCTCAACCCTCGAGTGACAATGTGCGAGGCCCTTCTAAAAGGGATTTACGGTGTAGGAAAACAGTATACTTCTCTTGACGCTTGTTCCGAAAGGCTCTTGTTGCTTCTACACAAAAAAAATTTGGATCAAGAACCTGACCAATCTACTTGGATGGCAGGCTCGATAATTTCTTGAGTCTCATTTACATTTTGATTTTTTAAAAAACTTATTTTCATAATTCTGCACTCATAACTCCGCACACGTTATCCAAAGCTAAAACCTGTATTTTACAATTTTCTATATTTACATTTGAGGCGTGTAACGTTTGACATTGACCAAGAGCATGTAGATATCTAAGATGACTCCTCAAAAATAGTTAGTAAGCAACCCATAGAAGCAGAATGGCGATCGTACATTTCCAGCATGTTACGGTTATTTTCTGATGCACGTGACACCCTCACCGTGCTATGAAATTAATTAAATAACACCCATTTAAATCGTTGTTTTCATCAAATACATCAAAGTTGAGCATCCCAGTTGAAACACCCCAACTTACACTTGGTCAATAGTGTCTGACATGTTTCCGTCTTCTTTCTTCACAGATCCAGCACGACTAATAATTTAAATGCCACTCTCCGGAGATGCACAGACGTGTTTGTCCAGCTCAACGTTTACGTGCACGCACATAAACGCACGCATACAGTTATATACATCCACGTGTGTGCCTATAAAGCCAGGTCGTCAGCAGCATCAACTCTGTGATAAACGTGATAAAACACGACGCGGGCGAATAATAGAAAGACGTCGTGTAGTCGACGTTCACTTTGTGCAGCAACTTGTTCCATCAGGGCGTCATTTTCGTTGTCTTGACGGTAAAACTAAATTCTTCTGAAAAAAACAACGACTAAACGATGATATAACCGCGGACGCTCACCAACGCCTGTTTTTTGTATAAAACGGGTTAAAAGCGTGTTCGAATTCAACTATCAATCCCCATGTCAGCAATTTATTCCTGAAAATGAAAAGTCGATGGCTGCAAGCGGACGAGATAGTTGTGGATTTACACTTCCGAGGTTAATGCGAACATGATTGAAAATGTATTCACACGGTTGCAAACGATTGCCGAGTGAGGACAGTGATATTAATCCTTTTCCAACATTGTGTAAATCATCGTTGATAATGTGAGACATTTACATAATCAGTGTCTAAACTCGTGACATTTTACTTATTCGCACTTATTGACAAAGTCAAAACTGTTCCCAAGAAAAATAAATATTCTAAAGTAGTATTTTTTTCAAACTTCAAGTACCAACATGTCCATTTACCATTGTGTGTCCAAAATTATGATTTTTTTTTTCTCTGAAGCTGCTAATTCACATTTTTACGGGGGGGGGGGCGGCTTTTTCTCCTGTTGCGTAATATGTTTTTTTTTTTTTCCATTAAAACTAACGCAAATGCATCTCAGAAGCATTTTAAGAGTAGCTTTTTTTGTGTTCTGGTACAAATGGGACGTCAGTCTTTGTCACTCAAACTGGGTTTACCATTGATGCCACTGGAGCAAGGCTCACAATGTTACAATGCAACAGGGGGTTCTGAACTGAAGTGCCAGTGGGAGAAAGTCATTTTACATTCACACTACGGCATACAGCAAAATACTGTAAATGGTGTTATTTCTGAGTTATGTATTAATTTGTGAAAGTGTTGGAACTAAGTGTATGGGATATGTCTTGACTTGTATGATGATTAGAGTGCGGTTGGTTTCATGAGTAAAAAGGATAATTTTTGCACAATCTGGAGATTTTGAAAATTTGTAAAAAAAATAAAAAAAAGTCGGAAGTTTGCTGTGAAGCTTTGTATGTCCTCAGCATCGTATACGTTTGTTACAGTGCATTTCAATGGGTCACCGCCATTTGTTCTTTTCAGGAAAGATTGTCTTCATTAATTTTAAAATAAGTCTTTAAGCGTGATTGTTTCAGCATGGGAGACTGTTCAAAATGTAAAATTAAGGCAATATTTTGAAAAAAATGCACGTCAGCCTCACAGTGGAGAGGTGCAGGCCTTTCTGTGTTGAGTTCGCATGTTCCCCCCGTGCCTGTGTGGGTTTTCTCCGGGTACTGCTGTTTCCTCCCATATTCCAAAAACATGCGTGGCAGGTTAATGGAACACTCAAAATTTTTGTTTGATCCAATCTACACAATAAAAAAAAGAAAAGAAAAAAAACAGTGAAGGTGCATGCATACCTCTGCACTGTGAGGTCAACGCGCTAACCACTGGACCACCGGGCCGCCGCCTCACGACCCTTGTAAGGATAAAGCGGAACAGAAAACGGATGGATTTAAAAAAATGCAAAATTAGATTACGTTGTATTTATTTATTTATTTTTACACAAGTGCCATACTGATCAAATTAGCTGAAAAAAAACCCCATACTTATGACATTATCATTGGAAATTTGTACTGTGTTCAAACATGGTAGGCTACACTCGGCAGCAGCTTCAACATGATACGGCTGCTCATGCAACGAGTTGTGTAATCCAGTGGCGGATGCTGGTCTGTCAAGGAGGGGAAGCTCAATTTTGGCCGACAACATAAAATGTGTCCGTTTATATAAATGCGAATTCTACTCTGCGTTCCTTTTCAACAAAATTATCTGTAACCCTGTCATATCAACAAGGCATCTTTTCCAGGTACTTAACTAGTGCCCTACAACTACAGCAACTACAATAAAACCCACCAGTAATGAAAGATTAATTCGTCGCTTATCGTTTTCAACAAAGAGAGTGTCGCTAAGATGATTAGAAGTCGTCTCCAGTTCAATTTAGAACAGAATGACAATTGAAAGCGCTCCCACGGATGCCTACACGAAAAGATCGGTGATTGGCTCATTTCGATGTCAATCAAACTGGAACACAGGCTCAGACAGATCATCTAATCTAATGCAGAAAAGCTGAGCGGTCCGGTACCCGCCCACTGCCATCCAGTCCCAGAGACGCCGAGCGTCCGTGGGCGGGACAAAAAACAGCTTGTATCCAATGACTCGTCTCTGTTTAACGCATTGAGACAACCTACCCTGAACTCTCGAGACGCTCAGCGTCCGGGCAGTAGACGCTCAGCGTCCACCGTTTAAAGCACAGCGAAGCTGCAGGAATGAATGAGAAGGGAGTCACGTCGTAACCAGTAAGAAGAAGCTGATTCGGAACAAAAGTTGAGCATGTTGTCGCGCATATTTAGTCAATGACATGTACACACAATGAAATTTACATTCATATATTTGATCACTTATTCTTTGACATTTTAGGGGAAGCTGAGTTTCCCTTGCAGTCCGAGAGCAATCGCCACTGGTGTAATCAAAGTTGTTATTGATAACCTCAACCTTGTCGATAATTGCAGGATTTCAAACGGATTCATTCAGAAAAGTTACATGGTGACATTTTAGGTGCGGTTGAGTCAAGCATGTAACTGCAATCGCAGTGTTACCAACAAAGCTGTTGTTTAGTGGCCATTTCTCAAAAACGTGTTTGCATCAAAATGAGTGACATGAATGGTGTTATTGGCGACGGGGACATGTACCCTTTCATGCCTAGAATGCACGTGAGTCGTGTTTGCGTGAAGCCAGCATGGACTGAACAGGAGAAATGTGAAGTCGCGATTGCCGCATAGGGAAAAAAAAAAGTAACATTGAATGAGCCAGTCAAGTTTGTCATAGGAATCATGTTTGCTTTCTTAACAGACACTTCCTTACGTATGCCTTCACAATCCATTTAAAGATACTGAATCTCCGTTCATGACTAATACAAAATGCATTGACATTTTTTCATTGACATTTTTTTCAAAACAACAAAAAAAAAAAAGCAGGAAACTTAGTAGATAGTAATTTATTCTTTTTGGTGACTGTCTTCCCAAGGGCAATGTACAGCATTTACCAGAGCCATAGTACAATATTCTTTAATTACATCATTTACAGATGTGGTTCATTAGATCTTTGTACATTAAAGAATGACAGATGGGCGACAAGAGATCACACCGTGGAGAGAAGGCATAGTCAACATATGTATTAATTGCTCCTTGACATGCGACAGCGGCTCGTTGCTAGACAACAGATGGACGGACACGCTTGCCAAATACAATCAAACGACGTATGGAAGAAGCGACAAACATTTGTCACTGAAATCAACAGCTCATGGCTCTTTCTGTCAGACTTGAAATGGAACAGGAAACTCAAAATGTTAACCAGCGTTTTAATAGAAGGAGCAAACCTAGATTCATACTCATTTGTATTCCACAACATTCGTTCAGTAATAGCAACCCCCCAAAAAAAAAGTTAAAATATGTAAATGTCGGAGTTCTTTTGAGATTGCACATTTGAAGGTGAGCATTGAGTCAGCAATATCCACTTTGTTCCCATAATGACACACAAAAACATAAATAGGTTTTTTCTTTTTTTTTTGTAAAAAGCCACAAAAGAAAGAAGACCTCGGTCTTCAACACAATGAAGTCATGAGCACAGCGTGTGAGTTTGCGATGGGCTTTTACAGCAGCAGGGGTGACTTATTTCATGTTCAGAAACAAGATTAAGAAACGGTGAATCACCTGCATCATCTTGGTTTATGGGGCACCGTGAAGTATACCAAACATTCCTCTGTGAGTTTTGTTTGTTCAACTTTGTCAAGTTTATAGTTGTCGGGGGATTCTGTTTTCTCTCGCTTTTTCTTAACTTGCTTTTTGTTGTTAATGATTTCAAACAGTTTCAAACATAGACGTGAGACTCAACTTGTGCAACGGGGATTTTGCTTGTACTATGAGCCTGTTCATTGCGAATTTAAAAGAGCCACATCCAAATAAGAAACAAATGAATAAATAAGCAAGCAAGCAAAACAACAAACACATTTTTTTTTCTCTTTAGTACAAATATCTTGGTAAATCCAACATGATTCTCAAAAATTAGAAGTCGACTGCCAAGCTTTTTTTTTTTTTCCTGTGTGAAGAATGGGGGCAATTTTAGGGTCCTGCAATAGAAATGAAACATGTGGCCGGCAGCAGCAACTTTGAAATTGGTCTCCTCTGTCACCAGAGTTTGTGAATCAAAGTCTGCAGTCGGCGTACTGGAGAGGTTTAAATCAGCGTAATCGTCCATTCCGGTGGCCACCAGTTCGTGATGCAGAAAAACTTTACATTTAATATTTGCTATAAATCCCATTCTGTGAGGTCTCAGTCATGCCTATTTTGCGATGAAAAAATACATTTTCTGGACTCCAAAACTAGCTTTTGAATTCAATTTGCCCTCCAGTGTTTTCTGATGTGCTTTCAAGTTCAATTGGGGATTCCACACCCACTGGGTTTCTCATAATAAAAGCTTAATGGACTGAGCTCTTGCTTATGCTTAAAAAGTTATTTCCAAACCGGAGGGAGAAACCAAAGGACGGTAAGACTTGCTGACACAACTTTTGCTGTTGTGTAGTCCGAAACGCAATTGCCAAAGTCGGGGAGTGAATGAAACTGTACAGGCATGTCGGCTAAAGCACAGTGGCGTTGTGACCCTCCATTCTGGGCAGCCGGGGGTCCTGCACCGTCCCCATGGTGACTAAGAGCGGTCGGCTGTCCTCCGATAATCCGGGCCGACCCAGGGAGACCGATGTAGGGGTCCTCTGGTGGGCTGCTGACGCACTCTGTTGGGAGGGAAGGAGCGGAGGAGGACTCGCCTCCAGCGACACGCCTTGCTCCTGGTAGCCGTAACCGATACTCCCGCAGGGGAAACGTCTCAGTCTGTACAGGGGACCTGAATCTAAAAGGAGCTGGGACTGGTTGGCTGGTGGTGGAGGTGCTAACAGGGGTCTGCAAAGACCCTGCGGCGGCTGCTGCTGCTGATGGTGCAGCATCTGAAATTGGTGCTGATGTTGAAACTTATGCTGGAGACCCATTGAACCAGCCACTTCAGCCACAGTCCGTCCCACGTGCTCCTGTCCTTCGCCGGGCACCCTGGCACTGGTGCCGCCCACACCCAAAACCCCACCCACGCCCCCTTGCCGCTGCTGCTGCTTCCTCTGTAGCTGCTGCAGGAACCACGAGCCGTACGTAGGGTTCCAAAGACTGCTGCTCTTCCCACTGTGGCTCTCCTTCTCTCCTGGGTGACCCTGGTTGAAGGCCAGGTTGATGTGGCCCCCCTCGGGGCCTGGCTGGGTGGACCCCTTGGCAGTGAGTGCGGAGGTTGCTGTGGAGGTGACCGTGGTAGCCGTCGTCACGGAGGTCTGTGGGTGAGGTTGCTGATACTGATGGAGGTACGCTTGGGTCTGAGACGGCGTCGGTGCTTTGGCCTCGGACGCCATGCTCGTCGCGGATGCGTGTTCGGCTCCTCTATGGCTCTCCTCTGAGCGGTAGCGCGGATGCGGCTGTGGAAGTTCCCCATCAGTCTTTTGAGCATTCACCAGCACAGCGGTGCCCGAGGGATCATCAGTGCGCCTGGGTCCATACTCCTCTTCCTCCTGGACTGGCCCATATTCAATAGGCAAGGGCACGGTCACCACATCCGGGTCCTAAAACGTTCATGTTAGAGGGTTAATGTTTTGCATTGCGGGGGCAACTGTTTTTGATCAATGACAGACATCACGTTACCTACAAGACCCAACTTGAGCATTTTGGTTTTGAATTTTCTGTCACCCAACTTAATGTTGGGTACAATGCGGCTGCGATTGTGATCTGTTGTGCCACGTTAAATATCGTCTTTGAAAATGAGTACAGTAATGCAAAATATCACTGATGTATATGCTTCCTTCCTCAGGTGTCAGCGGGGATAATTTATTTTAATGTTATAATATTCTTCTCTTTTCCTTCTGACTACTATTTTTTATTTTTCTTCTTCGTGCTACTGCTATTTTTATTTTTATTCTTAGTGGCAGGGGTTCACTTTGGCCTGGGGAGTCAAGTTCAGCATTCGCTTCGATGATATCTGGCGCCATCTAGCATTGTGAATGGGTATAATGTCTAGACCCCGAATATAAGACGACCCCCACTTTTTCAGTCTTATTTCAATGCAAAAAACACCGTCTTATATTCGGACCAATACGGTACTAGAAATTTGCGTACCTTAAGGCTTTCAGGGACCGCTGTCACTACAGTGGACAGCTTATCATGTTATCAGGTTACAGGTTATCATTATTGGTCCATGAAAGGGTTAAACCGCTTAAATTTTCAAACATGAAAAAAAAACTAACATGTACAGTGTTCATTCACTTTTTGCGGGTGATACGTTGTATAGCTCAACTTCTGGTCTACAGTATGTGACTCTTCACGCAGGTCAAGGTGCGCTTCTCGGTCACGTGATAAGTTACCGCTAAAATGAAACCCAGGACCGAGCAAAATGAGTAATAAATAAACGTCTTTGGAAAGTTTCTTTGGGAAGGGGAAAAGGCCCAGCCAGGAGACAGAAGAGGATCCTACAACATTCAAGAAAGACAAGGCTACATTTAATAGACAGTATCAGGAGTCCTATTTAAAATACGGGTTTATCTCAACGGGAGATTCCCACGCACCAAGCCCACTCTGCAAAACACCCAGCGATAGTGAGTCGTATTTTTTTGAGCTTTGTATTTGCGGCGTATCTAATTTTGAAGGCAGGTTTCAACATTACCGTAGCGACTGGAGAGTGTTGCGGCCAAATAGGACGTTCCAAGTGCGAACTGAGCAAAACAAAATCCTTACTGTACGGGAGAAACCGTACTACCATTCAGCCCCGTAACATTCTTTCCATAGGGGAAACTTTGGTCGCTCTGCGGGACGGGATAAAATTATCCGATCGGAATAAAATTTTGCGCACATCCTTGTGTCATAGTATCGACAAGATTTCCGACCCGGCCCGACGAATCCGACAAACTTTTCCAAAATGGACCACCCTAATATATATATGGCTTTTGACTCAGCATGACTCAGACTTGATCTTAGTTTTACTGTGTTTGGTGCTTTCTACCGTCTTTGTTACTGATTTATTGCTTTATTGTGATATATGATAGTTGCTCCATGAACAGCACTTTGTATACGGCGATGGCTGTTTTAAAGTGCTCTATAAATACAATTGAGTTGAGTTATTATGTTTTGAAAATACCACAGTTTTCATGCAGGTCATAATCATATTTTGTTGTATTTATCCGCCACACCTTAGAGGCCGGTCCCTGAAAATATTGTTTGACATTAAACCGGTCCTTGGGGCAAAAAAGGTTGGGGACCGTTGCTTTAAATAACGTATTTGTTGTTTGTTTTTTTTACATCATTTCCAGGGTTGGTTTGATGGAAATACCGAGCAAGCAGTCCACAATGTGCTCCCACCAGCTGGGATAAACACAAGCTGAAGCGCAGCAAACTCGAATCCAATATAAGCGGTGGGAAATAAATAAATGAACGTATTGTGGGCTGTGTCACTTCCTTTCTATCAGTTTTCTGACTGCTTTTGTTTCGCATGTCCCACACGGACTTAAATCCACCCTAAACACTTTCCGTCAAGCTCCTGGCTTTGTCTCTTATTTTTCTACGGCGTGCTTTCTTCTCGTCAGCGGACATTCTGTTCATATATTTTATTTATTTATTTCTGTTCTCCAAGAGGTGTTTTTTTTTTTTTTTTTTTTTGAGACAGTGTTGAAATGTTCAGCAAAAAATGTGACCCAGAATGCTTTGTGCTGCATCGAGCAACACTTTCTCCTCACCATAACCTTCCGCTTTCCAGTAGGAGGTGTGTGCTGTATTCGTGAAGTCTTCATTAACCCTTTCAGGGACAGCGGTTACTACAGTGGACAGCCAATCATGTCATCAGGTGATCATTATTGGTGCATGAAAGGGTTCACGACTTAGCAAATGTAATGAAAGTTACCTTGAGGCACCCCATATGGTTTTCTTGAGGGTGCAATACAGGATGTGTCGAGTTGGGTTGCGGCCTTTATCGAATCAAGTGGACAATGATTAAATGGGGCCTTGTGTCTTCACAGCAGAGGCTGAATTACTGTATTATCATTATCATCATCGATTACTCTTGTGTCTTTGTAAACCACGAGATACTTTGTCTCGATAATTGTTGTTTCTGCTTTTCAATTCCAGCGAGTGGATAATAACGTGTACAGACGCTCCCCAGCTTACAAACGTGATACGTTCCGAACGATCGTTCGTAAAGTGAATTCGTTCGTAAGTTGCTTCAGTGCGATATTTTGTATGGAATGTATGTTTAAGGCTTATATAAGTATGTTTACTTGCTAATGATCGTCGTTTGCATCGGCACTGCACCTTTCACGTGTTCCATTATGCGATCTTTCTGTTTATAAATGGTACCGATGGTCGAACGATTCATGTAGTATGCACGGGCAACGCTCACCATTTTCTCACTCGCATCAAGCTTCTTTATTATTGCCACTTTCATTTGAAATGAAATGGCTTGCCTCTGCTTTACACTTCCACTCTCACTAGAAGCCGTTCGCTTTTCACCAACCATATTGAATAATGGATGCAGGAGATATTTAATAAGTGAGCAGAGGAAGCCGGATTCGGGGTGGATGCTGGGCGAACTCTCACAGCACCTCACATCGGTATTAGCGGCGGAAAGAAGCACTACACCTGTACTGTACTCGGAAAAAGGCGCGCAATACAAGATCTAACTTTTTCTTTTCTTTTTCGACATACCCGTAAAAATGTTTGTATGTACCGTTGTTCATAACTCGGATGTTCGTAAGTCGGGGAGCGTCTGTATTTCCCCTTTTATAATCTGATGCAGAAATCATGATATGAGCCAATGAAGACAACAGACAATAAATCCCCTTACAGTGGTACCTCTACTTACGAACGTTTCTTCATACAAAATGTTCAAGTTAAAAAAACGTCTCAAGAGGAAAATATTGCCTCTTGTTACGAAAGAAATTTCAAGATACGAAAGGTACAAATACAGTATGGGCTGCTAGTCGCAGCTCTGAGTTTCCTGAACGCAACATATTTATAGCTGCTTTGCCATTGGCTATTACAGAGCATCATCCTGGCATCCCATTGGCTAAGACGGACTGCTCCCATAAGTGTCTATGTGTATAGATTTAGATGTGTGTCTATGCAGCGTCCTCGTCATTTGCCCCTTGAGCCACGAGGCGTTCCGATAGTTTTACGTAAATGTAAATCACCAGGAAAACGTGTTCACCAGTCGGGCGATCGCTCACGATGCTGATGTTTGCCTTGGACATTTTCGACTGATTGTTAAAAGCTAACAAAAGCAAACGTTCTTTCCAAAACGCCAGGCAAAAAACACTTCTGAGAGAGAATACGAACTAAAGAGGGCAAAAAGACCAAACAAAAAAACAAAACGATGAGGACACATTTAAACGTTAAATGACCATCATTATTATTCTTTATTCTTTGTTTTTTACATTATGCACAACTCTCATTTATTGTGCAATAATATTTTTGTAACATGTATTTGTTAAATATTTTGATGGATTTTTATACTTTATAAAACATTTATGTCTGTATTTTGGTGGGCTTTGAACGGATCAGGGCATTTACATGGAAAACACGTCTCTACTTACAACATTTTCCAGTTAAGAAATTTCTTCCAGAACCAATTAATTTCATAAGTAGAGGTACCTCTGTGTTCAGTTACCATCAAGATCTCTTTTGTTACCTGCACGCAGTAGTCAATTCTCTCCAGGACAGTTGAGAAGTTAGGCCTGTCCTCAGGTTGGTGCTGCCAACTTTGAGTCATTATACGGTACCTGTGGATACGCAAGAAAGTATTGAAGAGACATGAACTCATTGTTGCAATGTTCATGAAGATAACTGGAAAAACCGAAGATGTGTGGCGATTCTGAGCAAATGCTCACCTAATTTGGATGCAATATGTCGTGACGCGCAAACAGGACAGCGAAGTTATTATTGCGTATTGCTATTTTGTTTTTATGAATCCGTTTACATCCAGAGACAACCAGGCACTTTCTTTTCCACGGATGGTTACCCACCACACTAAACGAATGTGTTAAACATCATTTAAGTAAGGCGGGGAAATACTCAAGGCCAGGGAATCAAACAGGAATTAAAATGAAGCAGTCTTACTGAAAATGTGCTATCAGAATTTTGTTTTCTGTAATACTGATTTCAGCATTATTCATTTTAACCAACCCACTGCACAGTTTATTTGATCCTCATCAAAAGCTTTGTTTGTCATCCCCATCCCTTCATATTCAAGTCTCTAAAAAAAAATCTCTCCAAGTCTGTACAATAGTTTTATATGAAGCCCTTCCCGAGTACAAATGAAGTAATTATCGCAGAAGAACAGTTTTTAATATGTTCTCAAGGACATCAATAATGGCTGCCTCCTCTCATTATTTCATTCAATTGACTTCTCTCAGATTGGAGATGAACTCTGCGGTCACCACACTGTCAAATTTTGACATCTGGCACCGATATTGAATATTTCATTTTTTTTCCACATAATCAAGGCGGGTTGAAAGGCCATTAGTCAATCAGTGTCTGTCCAATGGGTCCTGTCTCATAATAATGTTGAGCCACTATGTTGGTTCACATGCTGGAGTTCTTTTTATCGGATAGCTGCAGCAAGTACAAAACTCAAGGAGTGACAAGAGCTACGGAGCACAGAATCCTAAAACAGTAATAGCTTCTTTGTCTCCCTCAATGGCCTTTAAAGTGCTTCTTGGATTGAGCTTCGAGTACCACATCGCTCATGAGAACATTGCACTTTCGGAATCCTGACCAACTTTTGGGTATGTCAATCTCAAAAGCAGAATGGGTAAGGAGTCTTCCGATGGTGTAGAGTCGACAAATCCTCCAGTATGACACAAACATCCTTGCCATAACCGCTTCCACGGCAAATTGGACAATATGCAGACGTATAGGCGACATTTTTCTGCCTGTCTCTTTCATATAGAACTTGCTCAAGTGGGCCATTGCTCTGAAATGGGTTCACGCAGCCATTTTGACTTCTGACAATGTGTAGTGAAAATTGCTTTCGACACAAAATGGCTTGGGCAGGCAAGTCGACACTCGCCTCCACACTGGGGGGGCTCCGACACCTCCCACCCTGTAGAGGTACACACAAAGCAGCCAGCCGCGAACAACAGTGAAAAATAGGGTTCAGATTCCCAGTGTCAAAGTGGCTTCTATTTATGACGAGATCAAGGTTACGAAGTAATAATAGCTTTGGATTTGTCATTAAAGTTAGTTTTCATTTTGTTTTGATTTTTTTTTTCTGTAGATAGTCTTAATTAGTTTTCAGAGAGTGCTTGAGAGTTTTAAGATAAGATAATAAAACCTTTATTAGTCTCGCAATGGAGAAATTCCCAATTCACAGCAGCAAAGTTATGAAAGGAAGAATTGAATTAAAAGAACAAAATATTTAATAAATTGTTTGCTTTGTTTTGGTTTGTATTAGTTTAGTGTTAGTTTTAGTTTAAAAATGTGCATTTCTTGTGAGCACGGTAATTATTGTGCAGTAAAAACTCAACAATTGTTAAAAAAACAACATTTTAAAAGGAACCATCCATAAATCAATTAAAGGTACTGAAAACTCTCCACGGACTTAAAGGTACATCAAGTGCAGTGAATGCTTATCACGTTTGATGCATCACAAATCCCAATGGCTGAAAAAAAGCTAGGTTTGACTTGCTTTCCAGCCATTGTTTGCCAAGTTGACAACTTCTAAGCCACACACTAAAACACTAAAAGCCACCTGCCCACTTTCATTTAAATGTCAGTCATAGTCAAATTGGACGGACGGATCGACCGACAGATAGTATAGAAAAATGAAAATTGCCTGTGGTTTATTTGGCTGAAATTTAAACCTAGTTGTACCGTGGCCCATTTTTGTCATATATGAACCAAAAAAAGGCAGCACTTGTTATTGCACATTGTGTTTTAGGCTGAGTCACGTGACAGCGGGTGACAGTGTGTGTCCATGAACAAAAATCTGTTTATTATTTTAATCAATATTGTAATCGTGATTACCAAACACAATTGTTTGTCATGTTAGGGAAATGTCTTGATATTCATTTCACTACTTTTCAACAAACATGTAAACCTCCTCACAGTGCATAGGTGCCGGGCCTGATTCCGGCTCCGGCTTTCCTATGTGTACGTTCTCCGTGTGCCTGCATGGGCTTTCTCCGGGTACTCCGATTTCCTCCCACATTCCAAAAACATGCATCGTACGTTAAGTGATCTCTCTAAATCATAGGTGCCAAACAGTTCCTGGAGGGCCGCTGTCCTGCATGTTTTCCAAGTCTCCCTGTTGCAACACAATGTCAGGCTTTCGCAGAGCTTGCTGATGATCTGATCATTTGAATCAGGTGTGTTGCAACAGGGAGACTTGGAAAACATGCAGGACAGCGGACCCCCAGGACCTGAGTTTGACACCTGTGCTCTAAATTGTCCCTACGTGTGATTGTGAGCCCGGGTGGTTGTTCGTCTATGTGTGCCCTGCGATTGGCTGGCAACCAGTTCAGGGTATACCCTGCCTACTGCCTGAAAATGGCAGGGATAGGCTCCAGCACACCCACGACCCTTGTGAGGATAAAGCGGATCGGAGAATGGGTGGATGGATGAATCATAATAATAATAATAATAATAATAATAATAATAAGTCAATATACCCAATAAATAAAAATGTATCAAGGTCTAACTGAATAAAACTTGGGACAGCATGCCTGAAAAATTGCTCTGGGAGAGACCAGCACCAAAATGACCCAAATACAAGGAAATGCAGGATTGAGTTTTGCCGTAAGTGAAATGACATGGCTTCTTCTTGTGACCAGGTCCAGGTTAGCTGTTAAAGATTATTCCGAAGCTCCAAAATTGCATTACTTAACAGATGATGGGTCAAGATCATTTTTGTTTCTGGCATTTCAAAAATGTTTCCACAAGTATAAAAGATGAGTTCTCCTGTTGCCTCCTGTTATCCCTGCACCTCCTCCTCCCCATTGGAACAGCACTTCTTTCACTTCCTTTGCATTGATATGCAACAAAAACTGCATGTGTGTTCAGATTTACATACACAGGCCCAGGGCAGTTTTTGGGTGGGTCCATTCTCCCACCGTTGGTTACAAAGTCCAACACTTCTTGGTTACTGCGACTCGGATAAGGCATGTACCCCAGTGAGAAGATCTCCCACAGAAGAACCCCAAATGACCTGGTGATTATGGAGGAAAAAAAGAAACAAGGTGAAAAGGACAATCAAGTCATATCACAAGCGCCATCAAAGCTACGGCTATAAAGGATACAAGGGGATTTACAAGAGCCAAGATAAAGACTTTAAAAAAAAAAACAATCTGAGTTGGGCACGCTGAAGGACAGAGGATTGAAGGGATCACAGACATCGACAGCACATGTGTGAATGCAAAACATCAGAATATGGCGGTAAAGTGATGGCCGGTTTACCCTTGTGAATATTTATTGGGCAGAGAGGATGAGGCGCTCACCAAGTATCAGTTTTTGATGTGAAGATGCCCTCCATGAAGGCTTCAGGTGGCATCCACTTGACTGGGAGCATGGCACGACCACCTTTCCTGTAATAACTTGCTCTACACGCACGCACGCACACACATACACACACAGTTATGCAACCAGAAATCATAAAACAATGAAAACCAGAATTACTTGCTTTGACTGTTGCCATAGCAACAGCCTCAAACAGAAGGATAAAAGAAACCTGACATGCATAATTAATTCTGAGCTGTCAGTGCTCTGATCCAAACGCATGTTCGCATTATATAAATATCTTGGTAAGGGGAACGCCATGAGAAGTGCCAATCTATCAAGGGAAAAAGGCGAGGGCGTTTGTTTTTTTTTAATGATTTTTTTTTTTCTGGGTCGGGCTGGGTCTTAGCCATTTTTAACATTGCCTTGCTGTTCTAATTGTGAACAATGTTGGAGGTCAAAGCCTAATTCATGCGGACCTGCTTGCTCAAGGCGCCTTCTGAGTGACAGCAATGACTGATCACGCGGCTCCCGACCTTGGTTCCCTCCAAGAAGAATGAACCCGCATCAACATCTAAGTCACGAGGTGTCAGCTAGAGGGGTTTAGAAGGACAATTCTAGGATATGGATTCAGCAGTAATCGTGATGGGAACGATTGCTCGGCGACTCGAGAGCTGCATGTTCGAATCTGTGATCCTTCTGCAGGGCCTCTCTGTTAATTTGACTCTCAAATGTAATTCTAAATTTAAAGGTTATGGTGCTCTTGCAACATGAAAGTAAAACATTTTAATGAATTAATTTTTTTGTCACCAATGTGCGACACCTGGCATCATGATTTATTGAGCGATTCGACTGCCAATAGTTCGACCGTGGATAAATCAAAGAAAAGAATAGTTTCTGACAAAAACAGAACATTGAATGTTGCGTGCCCAACTATATTAAAAACAAACATTGTTCACGCCTCACAGATGACAGATGAAGGTCGTGTCTACAGCTTTGACGTGCCGATTCCGCACTGAGGCTCAGGAAAAAAAATCACATTCGCCAGATAAAATAACTACCGGTACTTTCATTCACTCTCATTTGGCATAATATCTACAGTACAGTGCATTTTTAAGCGATGTAGTGCTTTTTAATTGAAGCTGACAGCTGAGTGCATGCTGCACAGCAGTGGACTACATTTGCAACTCAGTGTCGCACCAAACAAGGCAGGTGGGCATGTGTTCCCTGAACACCCACATCCCCGCACCACCAGCTTGCGATTGGTTTCCGATGGGGTAAAAGTTCATCCGCAGCCGCCAACCCCCCTCCGTTGACGCTTTGTTCGCATCAGGCACCAACATACCTTTTGCAGGGCACTGGCCCACAGTACACGCGATAAATATGAACTGAACACATATGCAGATGGCATATTTTGGTTTGCATTTTTAGTTCGACATGTTTAGTTAATAAATCATATTTTTTTTGACACATATGAAATTGTATAATTCAAGGTTTCCATTAATATCATGAATACACGGCGGACACTTTTTTTGGGAAGTGAGCTACAACCAAGCGTCTTCTTTTCAGAATTGAAAAATGTCTTCTTTTACATAACAATTTGTGACCTCTATCGTAGTTCATTGAGTTCAGACATGCAAACACTCCCAGGGTTTTTTTCCCCCCATCAAAAACATTGCAAGTATCTACAGATAAACATCGCGCAAATCTCTTTATGCTCTGGGAAAAACAACAGATATTACTGCAACTTGGGTTTGTCGCACACTGTGAGCTGTGACTGAAACAACATCAACTCTTCCGCGCACATCCAGTGATTGGGCACCACATATCTAATAACTGCAACCGAAAAACTGGGAACTTCTATTGGGTTTTGAGACTCCAAAAACAATATGCTGTACTGTATTATGTATTTATTTATTTTCTTATTTTTTATTGAACCGCAAAAACATGTTGCAATTGTCATAGAAAAAGAGGATTGCTACAAAGAAAGGCAACATGTGAAAAATAAAAGTGAAAGTGTGGATATTTTGAGAGGGTGTTGCCAGGGTTTTTCCTGCTTTCAAAATAGCCCCCCCAGCAAATTTTTTGCCGCCCCCAGCCAGACCAATTGATCTCGCTCAACACTGTGTAAAGCTCCAGCTGTGCTGATTGAGGGATTGATGTCCCTCTGTGGCAGCGGCATATTTTAACTGCAGTAGCAGTGTTGCACCACTATGGAAGCGCCATATAAACAGCGGAGCACAGGAAAGACTTGAAGCAACTACTGAAGAAGAAACAGATCAAATCTTGTTTCTTCCCCCCCACTAGTCGGTACTATCGGCATCCTGATTTTCCTTGGCGAATGATAGAAACAGGTAAATATTACCTGTTTTTTCCAGCCAAGTATGTCATGTTTATCAAAAAAAGTTTCCTTTGTGTCAAAGTAATGTTTATGAATTTTAGAATTGCAGATATGGCAGGGAAAATCAACCACTGAGTCCAGGTGAAACAGAGCAGAGAAATTAATGGATCAAGCAGTTAAAATGTAATAATTCATGGTGGAGACAACATGTGGAAATTTGGTCTGAAACACTGGTGATAGTGACGGTCGGAATGCAGGACATGATGAGTTGATGAGGCGAGGCTACATAAATCTGTTTCCAAATAAGAGCATAACAACGCAAAGTCAATGTCTACGTGATTAAAACATTATTTTGTGTTCCTCTTTCTGTATCATTTAAAAAAAAAAAAAAACACATGAGCCAGTAGCTTTGACAAGCACTGGCCAAATCAATTTACCTGGCTTAGGCATACCGAGGAAGGCATGCGCTGTTTATGCTAAAAGCACGGTGCGCCAACACACCAGGCAATTGCTGCCTCCCTTGTGGGACAGCCATCAAACCAACGACAGGGTGGGCACATTAAAAAGACATGACGGCCATTAACAAAGCAGCAGAAGAGAAGGACAAACATATTAAAGATGGTAGTACCTAAAAACACTCAACTAATAAAGTTACAAAAACTAAAATAATATGGTTTGGATAGAGAGTTGAAGAAAAAAAAATGTGCATCATCACTGCCTCACCCAACACATTCCCTTGTGTCTTGCTGTTGACTGTCTAGCATTCCAGGCAAACATAATGGACCACCTTCAGACTTAAGTGCAACTCAAAGTTTTCATTTCACCTAACCTAACCTGCATAATTATTAGGGGGCGGGGGATGAAAAGCCATGCAACATGGGGAGAACATGCAAACTCAACATTGAAATGTTCCAATTACTTTACCTTTTGACTGTGAGGCAGAGGCACTCCCCAACCTAATCTACTGTGTAGCCCTGACAAGCTGTTCCTTTTTTTTTTTTTTTTTTTTTGAAACTTCACTTGTGTGCCCACATGCGTGCAAGTCTCTTTGAGTGAAGAATACCAGCACGTGTGTGCGCCTGTGGCTCTCCTCTCAGAATATAAAAAGATGACATTAAGCTCCATCCCTACTCTCACTGCGATGGCCTTAAAAGGACTTGCATGTCCCTTGTCGCACAAATAAGGGCCGCACCAGGAAACAGCAAAGAGAACTTGCAGACAGTGAAGCGCCACTGAGCGTGAGGTACCCTCTCATTCTTTTGCACATAAAAGCAGAGATAAGCCCAGTCTGAGCATAACTGCTGGAGGCTGCAATATAAAAGCAAAATCTTGGCGAGGCACCTGAAAAACTGACATCAGCAATTAAATCAAACTCTCCTAATGTGGCACCCGGGGGGCAATTGAGCAACCGCCTTAACCGGATGTGACTTTGGACCCTTCCGTGTCCTCACATAAGACTTTTTCACAGAATGCTGCAATGATATAGCTGCATGTTGTGACACATTTCCCCTGCTCCGGTCTCTCTCAGATGAAAGGCGAGGATGATTTCCCTGCTGAATTGGGAACTCGTGGCATCATGTGGAACTGCACTGGCCGTGTTAAAATGTTTGAGATGAGAATCTTGTGATGCTTGGTGGCTACTGAATGGTTGTTGTGATTAGAAGCCGGACTGAGAAAGCCCCTTTGAGGTAAAGTTTGCAACATTTACAGAACTTAATGAGCCTCAGGGACAGTGCAACAATTTCTATAATAAACTCTGCACTTGTGTGGTCACAAATTTAGGGGCATGCAGAATATGCAATCTAATGAAAACCAATGCAAGGCTTGTTTTAAAGGTCCTGCTCAGACAAAATAGTCTATATTAATTGATACTGTCACGTCTATTGATTTAATAGATTGGCTTCGATTGTGGTTGTTGTCCGCACCTCTATCCAAACAGCATCATTCTGCATTTTGATTATACTCAGTTTGGAAAAAGAACAAAAGCAAGTGTAAACATAAACTCAATGATCTTATGACAATACAGGCATAGCAATAACTACACTATTGAATGGCAAGAGTGTCACCACAGCACTTCGAATCTCATCAGAAAGCAAATAAAATGCTCCAATTCATAAATAATCCTGCTTTTTGATCCTGAACAGTTGACTTTTACGACTTGGGGACATACTTGCAGCCTTGCGACTCTGGAAACAGTATTAAAAGCTACCTGCAGTTAGAGTATAGCATTAGCCCGCGGGAGTCGAGAAATGGACTATTGCTGCACCCCGTGGGACAGTGCATTTTAGCCGATTGTTGTTAACAGGATATAATTGATAAGCAGTTTTATCAAACCCTCAAAGGCCTTTATAAACACTAATTGAGTTTGATGTTAAACTTAAATCCAATTTAAAGACATAAGTATACGTTTTTTTAATTATGCACAAAATGAACCAGCCAGTGATGGCCAAGCGGGCGTATCATAATTAAGTGACATGTTGAGTTGGGTGTGTCTTAACATCCATGGCAGAGGCTCCGTCGAACCCGAGACCGATTCACCAAAACCCTAGGGTTCAATCGAACCCAGGTTAAGAACCACTGGTCTAAAGTGATACAAAAAAACATTGTTGCAAAAACGTTCATAAATTAATCTGCTGACTATAATTAGATTGTGTTGTGGAAAATTCTTACCGGTAAATATCCCGAGCCATTCCAAAATCTCCAATCTTGGCCACGCGACCTGGTCCTTTGCACGTCAGCAGGCAATTACGAGCCGCAATGTCCCTAAATAATGAAAAATACACGCAGAGTCAAGTGTCAAAATATACACAATTTGTTATCCAACTTCCTTGAGGTCTCATCTTTGCAAGAAGTTTATCAGAGTAGTTCATATGTTTGCCCGTCTCTCACACTTAAAACACAGGCACATATTCCCACATTGGATCAGAAGCTTGGTGTAACTAACACGTTGCCATCAGCATTGCTGCTAAAACTCAGATCTTCCTGCAGTGCTTTTTATGACTCGACGCATTTGCATCCTGAGAAAAGATTGAAGTGCAGCATATACAAACGGTGACTAAGATGAGAAAAACATAAAAGTGCTCTTTTCACATGGCTGGGTTTTTTTTTTTTTTTTGAGTAAGAATATTTCAGTGCACACATTGTTCTCTACTCTTGTGTTTGGAGGAAAACACACTGTACTGAATCCCGAGTCGCATGACTTTCTTCAGAAGAGACGTCAAAGAGCAGAGTGCATACATCTTTTCATCGGGTGAGACAAATGGGCACCAGGACTAATAAATTGCCAGAATTGAACATCAAAATAACAGCATGTGACACACTGCTCTAACGGAATCATGAGACTGGGGCAGAGCTGCAAAACACACAACTGGAAGCAAGATGACCGATCACAGCATGTGCGTACTTCAGACAGCCGTCCTCTGATGAATGTAGATGTGAAATGACACAATGGGGATGTAGTAATAGCTCAGATGGAGTGGAACAGAGGGTCTTTTTTATGACATGGTCTGCGGTGTTGCATCCCTTCATTGTACCCGGAGAGACTGAAAATTATTCAAGAAATTTATCTTGAATAATTCAGGAAGGACTAAAATCAACATATCCCGGCATCTGCTTACTTACATTATCTCGTCGAGGCTTTTGGTTTTGTGAGCAGGGATGCAATGTCCAGTTTAAGTCCTGTATTTTCCGCACTGTAAGGCGCACTTAAACGCATTCAATTTTCTCAAAAGCCGACAGTGCGCCTTATATTCCGATGCGCATTATACTCCCCATTGAGTTGTTTCCTTGTTCGTGTTCCCATGCCATCCAGTGGAGATTATTAGCAGGTACCAATTGTAACGTAAAGGGTTCTGCCTGACACAAATTGACATGTGCATTCGTCAACACACACTCAAACAGATGACGACTTTGTCAGCTCTGCGCAGCCATTATGATACGAAGATAATTTATATTTGCATTTATATGTTTCATGTCGATGTTTGTGACCAGTTCCCACGAGTTGCCAAGGAATAAACCCTGTATTTTCATGGACTTGGTATCGTGCATCATGCTACATCCTGGGGGAGCTACATATGGATCAGCATTCTGATTTCTTGGACAGAGTATTTTAAATGTTCTGTAAAACGATTTGTTACAGCTGCAGCGGTTGTGAAGGCTCTATATAAATATAGCTGTATTTTATTGTATTGTGTGTTTAGTGTAGCGCCATCTGGTGGCTGCATAACGCACCCGCAGCCACGATGGTAGCTTCTATTCTATGTGCCTTATAGTCCAGTGCACCCAATATATGAAAATATTTTTAAATAGGCCATTCATTAAAGGTACGCCTTATACTCCAAAATACTCTTATCGTGCGGACAAGACGGCATTTTAATGAGCATGTATTTACCAAATAATTTACAGTAGTAGTACACATGAGTACCGACATTTGGGATCTAACGACAATCCTATTCAATACCAGGCAGTATATCTATTTCGCAGTGGGCATGTTATGTTTCTATCCTTAGGTCTTCCCGATAACAAACAGCATGGAATCGCATACACACAAATATAGACTGGTGCAGACTAATACGAGTGCCGTAGTCCTTGCTTAATGGCTTGGAAGGAGTCATGCTAATGATTTGATTCTGCTAGTAGGCAAGGACAAGCCTTGGAATGCAGCAAGAGCTATCACAGACAGGCCTTCAGGGAAGGGCATAGAACAGAAGTGCGTGCGGCGCAGTAATGGGAGTCCAGCCACTTATTAAAACAATGTTAACAGGCCTCTCACTGTAGACGTTACTCACAGTGAATTAGAACGAGTTTCAAAGGCTCGTTTTCCAGCAGCATTGCAAAGAACTCTCTTTGTGATTGCTGTTAAACTATTGACTATTTAAAGAGCTTTGGTTAGCCCAAACAGCACTTTACTGCCCTGAGTGCAGCACTCCACTTATGTGATTCTAATTTCTATCCTTTTCAAAGGAAGTATGGGATATTCAACACTTTTTTTTATATTTTTCCATCTGACCTCGTTCATTTGCCCTTTCCTCCAAGTCAAGAGAACGCACCTTCATAAAAGTGGTAAATGTCCACAAGGAGAGCGTTAGTGCCCATTTCAATACATGCAGAAAAACGGGCTGTATAGAAGGCCAGTGAGCCATGTTTGAAGACGCAGCCATTAGGTGGATTGATGGGGCTTTACTGCTCCACGTGGGAGCAAATTCGGTTTAATAGGCCTCGTTTGTCAATGGCTAATACCTGACCTGAAAGGGAGATACAATTCAATTGTCTTGATGTGACTGTGGGAGGAAATTTGACCTTTCCCCATATTGACTTATACTTGACCTTCCATGTGAGTGTCCTCCATAACAATGATTTGGGGGTTCAAAGGGAGGCTCTTTAAAATCTCCAGGTTACATCCATTGTTTTCTGAATATAATGCTTCTGGATATAAAAGAAATAGACTGTCTGTTGCCTTGTATATGAACCATTAAAAAGAAGCCCCACCTAGCTGTTCTGATAGTTAACTCCTTATTCGTCCTCTCAACTATAATGTCAGAGGAAAAATGTCTCCTTTTGTTCCACTTGAGCAGGTGTAGTCACATTAAGCCGAATTCTTGTTCATGCAATCTGTGAAAACCGTTTCTGTCATTTGCATTCCATATTCACAATGTATGCATCGTTTTCTTTCCCATCTGCGGGATCTCTTAAGAATACAAATTCTGGAACTCATCTGTATGCCAAATGTTTTTCCTTTATAAAATGTGGGGATTCAGATACCTATGGATGAATTGGTTCTCCTCCAGATACTGGCAGCCTTTGGCAATGTCTCGCGCTACGTTGAGAAGGTCAACCATGGTCAGGCTGGACGGTTGCTCCTGAGAAAGAGCCATACCAGCATATTGCATTCACACTTTGAATTTTTTTTACATGAGTGCAAATAAAAGAGTGCATTTTTGAAGTGCCTGATGTTTGCATTAAATTTTGCGTTTGTGTGGTCAGATGCTAAGTTGTCTAGATGTGTGAAAATGAGTGTGAATGTTGTTTAGCTACATATGCCCTGTGATTGACTAGCAACCAATACTCTCCTCTCATGGGGTGTGGCCCAGTGCAGAAACCTTGAGCTCAGTCCCAATCAAACACCTTTGAGGTGGATTACAACAGAGTTTCGGAGCAAGGCCATTTTGACGAACACCCGTTATCTCCGAATAGCTGTCTTTCTTCAGGCAGTTCCCAAATGTGTCAAGGCAAAGTGTCCCAATACTTGTCCAAATTGTCCATGAACGATGATGCGCTAATAAATGTCTCACCACTCGAGGTCTCATCTCCCTGAGGAAGGTCTTGAGGTCTCCACCAGTCATCAGCTCCAGCAGTATGAACCTAGGCATTGCCTGCAGACTGACCCCTACACAGCGCACAATGTTCTGGTGGCTGAACTTACTACAGAAGCAAAAACATAGGAAAGGAAAGCCTTGGATATGTTGATTGTGCATGAGCAAATATTTTGGAGAATTGACTAAATGTCTGGTACCTGATGATTAGAGCCTCCATAAGGAAGTCCAGTTCATCTTGTTCTGAGCAAACCTCAGGGAGAGTCTAGTTTTCATACAAAAACATATGAGCTCATTGCAAAGGACTCATTTCAGCGAGTGTGCATATGAAATCTAAATCAGAAGGTTATATTCGATTGTCTTCTATCGTGAGAAGACATTTTTCGTACACATGTGTCAAAGCCTTTAGGAAAGTGTTTTTTAAAAAAAGAAAACAGTTTTGGAAGGGAGAGACATCACCTTAACTGCCACATGAAGTGGACTCGGTTCGCCAGGTATTCCCACTGCCAACCCCTCATACACTTCACCAAACGCACCATGACCAAGAGCCCTGGTGAGAAATTTTTGCATCAAGCATTTACAGTCACATCCACATGGATTATTTTGGGCAGAATTCTCTATTTATCTACAGGCGGAAGGGCTCAAAAGCAGATTTCTCCAACCCCAATTAAAAAAAAATTGTGATGACAATTGGAAGTTACACAAAAATGTTAAGGAGAAGTTGAGAATAGATGCGAATGTGATGTTCCGGGGACCCGGGACATCCCAAAATAAACTGCATTTTTGTTTAAACTTCAGGGGGCCAAGCTGGGAATCTTTACAAGACTATACACAGCTGTCCCAAAGTACATGAAAAGTGGTGATAATGAAGCTTCGAGCTGCTCATGAACCATCTGTTGTATTTTTTGGACTCTTCGAGACGGCATTCTCGGTTTCACATAGGCCTGACAACGCATTGATGTGCCTTTTCTCAAGATTTAGTTCAACCAAAAATGCCATATAGAAGAGTCAAAAAATACAACTGGTTCATGAAGCAGCTTGAAGCTTCATTTTCCCATCACTAAAATTGAGCATGCTCTGCCCTTAATGCAATATTAGCAAACATGCCGGCAAATACTGACTGCTATTAACATTTATAAAGTGTGAACTGTAGTTTTATTCACCTGGCGAGGGAGATGTTGCGTCGCGGCACTTCCTTCAGGTCGTTGACTGACGCCGTCTTGCCAGCAAAGCAGTAGTTTGGATTATAGTCGGTCATGATGGTCGATGCCTGCAGTTTACTGATCTTGCAGTCTGGACTCTGTAGCTCCAGCTGAATTGATTGCAGCTCTGTGTGTTTACGTCTGTACACTGGAGAGGAATATACATTTTTCTGAAATAAGTCTTTCAACAACAACAAGCTTTATAACCATCTTGTAGCTGAAATTTAATGCTTGTACAAAAAGAGAAACTCTCTCTCTCAAGGACCCTATTTCTGTTTGGCAGCAATCAGCGTTGAGACTCTTAAAGGCGTTTGTCTTTCGAATGTAGTCCAAATGTAGAACAGTAACAAAATCACTAAAAGCGAGATGAACTCACTAATGAAAACAACTCACGTGGGCAAATGGGGGTAAAGCAGCTGAAAGGAAGATGATACAGCACTGATACAGCCCTGGCCTATGCTATGCACACATTAGTTCAAGTGAGAACAGTTAATGTGTGCGTTTTGAAAAGTGTATGTGTTTAGAGGAGCTATTTAACAAGTAGTGTCTACTGTGGAAGAGTTGTCGGCCTCCAGCTAAGCTGCCATCCATCATTAGCACATTTCATTGGCGCACAGGGGTAGTCCTCACCCCCTGCCTTGCCAGTGAGCAGAGGTGGGAGTCTGAATACGTATGTGCGTGTGTGTAAGCTCTCCACTCCAACTATGAGAGGGCGCGTGGGTGCGCATGTGGAGGAGATGATGGCCTGATGAGTGCATGTCTGGCAATAATGGTCCGAGAGCTGCTGGGCAATTGAACGTGTGCACTGGCTGCAAGGCCTTCTTGTTCTGACAACAATATATTAAGTGCTGTCCAAGGGGGACCGGGATGAATGTTGCATTCGTGTGCGTGGGTGTGAGAAGGGCGTCATCGGTCAATTCAGAGGCAGAAACTCGAAAACTTGCAGTCATGTAGTGGGGATCCTCTCGTGTGTGTGTGTGTGTGTGTGTGTGTGTGTGTGTGTGTGTGTGTGTGTGTGTGTATATATATATATATATATATATATATTGATGACCTGCTGTTGTTGTAAACTACAACTCTGAGCTTCATGACTTGGACATAATACTGCACTGTTTGAAGAAATTTTCTTAGCACTCATAAAATCCAGGCATTTGATTCTGTCAAGTGTAACTTCATATAATTGTTGCTTTAGTGCGAGGATAATAAAGTCCCCTTGGTTCTGTCTCTTTTTGTCCTCTATCTCTCTGATACTGTATAATCACACTTTGCCATGAGCAAATGCTGTGTGTCTGTGTCTGTGTTCGGGGAGGGAGTTACCGGTTGCATATGGCAGTCGATAACTGCATATTCATGTGAGGATACACAGCATGACCTTGCTTAAGGAGTAATAGTTGGACACTTTTTCGCGGCAGTAATTCTGGTTCGATTTAACCTGTCTCCTTGCATGCAAGTTTACTTAAATTGCAACTCAAAGTTTTCTTTTTTTCTCCTGTCTCTTGTATACGAAAGGCTTAACATTTTTTTTTATTTTTATGTGATATGCATGCACACACTCACAAACCAAAACATTACGGGCATGGGCAAACTATGATAAATTCCAATAGACAGAGCCAAGGAGGAAATCACAAAACCTCTGTCAAATTAATACTTTACTTTAGGCCTTAATCAACACAAAGCATTGTGATATCTGAAAAGGCAGAAATTAGTTGTTTTTTTTTTTTTTTTGCTAATTGTCACCTTGTATCATCCATTATTTTTACAAAAATGGAAAGATCCATTTGAACAAACCAAAAAGGCTACGTCCAGCAACTGCAATGCATGTTGGTACTTGCAGTATTCATCATTGCTTTGAAATTCATAGAAATGCTGCACATACACTAAACATATCAAAACAACGGTGTGTTGTCTGACCATTTTTCACACCCAGCAAAAGACGGCCTTTACAGAGCTATTTCAAATAAACATTTCCATTCCAACTTGCTCAGAAATATATGTGTGATGGGAAATTGAGTGCCACCCTGTGTAAAACCTCCCGTCTCATTTCAGTTTCTCTTCATGTGCACCTATTTGCCGAAACTGCCCACAAAATAAGTGAGTGATTGATTTCCCTCGCTGATTCGACATGATCAATCGTCCAGAAAACCTGCAGACAAAGGCTGGCTAGTGCCAACGTGCAGGACTCACTGAAAATACTACACAAACGTACACAAAGAGCTACTTTGACCAATACCCGCCCGTCGGCTCACTTTGTCAGGGGCTCACCGATTGCTGCGCTTGTAAATATATGGATCTATATCCTCCCTTCTGAAGACTTTTGTCCTAATTAACTTCACAGTGACAAGGAAATACAACATTACAATGGGCAAATGTGAGTGGAAAAAAGACTTCAATAGATTTGTTTGCTGCACTTCACAGATTTTGGGGAGTTTATGATAGATGAATACAGGCAGCAAGGTGCAAATGTTACCTCAGGCCCTCCTCTTTAGAGTTTATATATTATCCCTGTATTTGGATGGGTTTTCACCCCCAACCAAGTCCTGCTGCGAACAGCAAACATCCAGGAATAATTGACAATCTCCTGAAAACGTATATAATTGTCTATTGAATGCCACAAAACTTTTATTAGACAGGGCCTTGGTCTGGATAAGGACGTTAGCCAACTTCAGCCTCGGAGAGACCAGCTCCCCCAGATCGCTGGCAAGCTTAGCTATAGGATACAGCTGGTCTGCCGCAACGACAATTTATGATGTACAACACCAAAAGGTGCAATAGCCAAGCTGAATTTTAACTTTGTCCACAATGCGGTGCAAGAACTTGGTAAAAGAAGTCCTTTTAACCCTGTAATGCCTGACACATCAAGGAATAGCCAGAAAAATCAGATTTTTGGGAACTGAGATGTTCATTAACCCTTATAACAAAATCCACAAAAATATTTTTGCCATATCATGCTGTTTTAGATATTTGTCGTATCACATTTCTAAGCATTATGTAGATTACATCTGAAAATGATAATTTGGGGAAAATGAAACCTGCAGATTCAAATTTGATCCAGATGATTTAATGTAATATCAAGAATGAGTTACATAATGAAAATGCATGTATCAAATATGATACAAATGGCATTATAGGGTGAGGTACATTAACATTTTTGTATATGATACTGTGCATGATCACGCAAATGACCAGGAAAAATATTGTCCAATTTGTAAATAATTCTCATGCTATACTTCCCAAGTATCAACAAATCAAAAGTGAAATATCGAGTGATGGCCTTTTTATTTTTACACGGAATACTTTGCACATAAAGTGCACCATCACCAACCCATTCTTTGGTTAAACGGTTGAGGCGGAGTGATTTCAGAGTGACAGCAAGTGATTTTGGCAGAGTTGAACACTGGAAAAAAAAACATGGGAAAATTTGTGGAAAAGTTATTGACGACAAATGTATTGTGATGTTAGAAAGGACAAGCACTGCAGTGCTCGGAGATCGCAGTTACTTTGAATGTACGAGGCTGGTTGAAGGTGGTAGATACATGAGAATTTAGCATATTTAACATTCAACTCAAATCTAGCATTGCCAAACATGTGTCACTCGTATCATGTTTCCTCCACCTCATTATTAGCAAAGCCAGGGCTTTCAATTGTAACATCCACGCCACCAGAGGGAAAAGGCACCAGACTCTTTGTTGTTTGGTAGCTTTGCAAACAGATGTCAACTATAGACACGCTTGTGCCGTGCTGCTGTCATCCCTGCGCCGTTCTGCGTCCCACCCCGTGGAAATGTGCAGTGTGGAAGCGCGTTTAAAACGCGATGCTTAAAAATTTCACCGTCAATGCGACATTTACTTATCATGACGCCAGACACGGCCAGCAGTAGTGCAGCGATGAGGGCCGAAGTCCCAACGGACAGACCAAGCGCCAGGTGGGAGAGAGATGGCTGGGGAGGCAGCAGGGACACCTCTGCATGACAAGGGAAGAAAACAGCGTTCCAGTTGTTACCTTCCCAAAGGAACCATTAACATTCCCTTTGCCTTTCTGATCCTCTCCTTAATTAATGATGTGAAAGAGATGACATAAGAAAGCTTGAGGGGCTGTGCGGCACATCAATTCCTCATTGACTTGACGGGAAGATCTCTTTGCTCTTGTCCAAGCTGAGGTACAAACGTGCCCGCCGAGAGGGACCATATTGTGACGGTGACCTTTTCTGACCGAGTGACATCCATTAATGCGCTGCTTGTCCTTACAGAGAATAGATTTGCAAATCATCAGGGTAAGGAGAAACTCTAGGCCGTGAATACCGCTATTATATTGATTGTAATGATACGGACATCTCCCATATCCATTTATTTCAGATCAACATTCGTGTATTCATCTGAGATAACAAATTGTAATTGAAGAATATTGCGACTGAATCGGCTTCACAGAGGGTCACCGGTAGCCCTTTGTTCAAGCTTAACCCATGACAGAACTCATTTTTAGTGAAAGTTGACACGGTTTCAATCGACAGAGCCACTTGCAAGAACGCAGGATTATGAATAAAAATTCCAAATCCACTTTAACTTCACAAGGGACTGACTCTTTTATCATAAATCCTGAACATGATAAGAGGTTTTATCACACTGTAGCAGAGATAAATGACTAATCTTGGAAAGGGACTCAACATCTGGAGCAACAGTTGCTCATAACACCATTAGGTACAGTGTGATTATTCCCAGTGCGCATGTGTAATTTTGAATGCATAAAAAACACATGATAACATTTACCAAGATAAAGATTCACTAAATTACTGAGCCTCGAAGACATAATTACATTTGCAGATTAATTCATTTTCTATTCATAGTCACAGTTCATGAAAGGTACATTTAGATTCAATTCAATCTATTACGATGAGACCCCGGAAGGGAAATGTGAGATGACAAAAGCGTCGTACCTGTAGAGTTGATGCAGGACGTGCCGTCGGGTGCCAAGATGAGGTCATCGTCACAGTAGCAGACAATTTTGCCGCTTATCTCGTGACATTCGCCGCTCTCGCAGTAACTGCAGTTCCAAACTGGACTGATGATCACTTCTCCATCGCTCTCCATTGCTAATTGAGAAACACAGAGAGAAGGAATGTGTATGAGGATTGTTTTGTATAGTCATAACCCAGGATACAGTCTACAGTATTTGGCCACTACACTCACTGGCGAATTGTTAAAGTGCATGGCCACAAAGAGAAAACGTTTCTAAATTTCCAAAAGTTTGTCGCTCTCATGTTGCAAAGTATCAAAAAACAAACTATTTTGGTGGGTAATGTTTGATTTTTATTGAATGTCTAACATTTTTATAGGCCAGATAAAAAAGACAAACTAAAAAATAAAAACTACCGTATTTTCTGCACTATAAGGCGCACCGAAAAGCATTCCATTTTCTCGCGCCCTATAATCCAATGCGCTTCATATATCACATTAACAGTCTCTTTATATTGCCAATTGAGTTGTTTCCCTGTTAGTGTTCGTATGCCATCTAGTGGTGATTATTAGCAGGAACCAATTGTAACCTAAAAGGTTTCTGCCCGACACTAATTGACATGTGGATTCGTCAATGCACAATCAAACAGACAACTACTTTCTGAGCTCTGCGCAGCCATTATGAAACAAAGATCTTCTCAAAAGCATAGTTAACTACTGACTTAATGAAGGAAGAAAGCGACAAGCAATTCTAAGGATAGTTAGCCCCTTGTGGTTGTGAGCCCATGAGGTTTGTGTGCCTTTTTGTTGAATTAATCGTCTTCATAACTTTTGTCTTTTATTTGTTTTGTAATGCCATTTGTATTTACGTGTCCGTGTTTGTGTTCTCATGGCTTTGTTACAGCTGCAGCGATTGTGAAGGCTCTATATAAATAAAGCGGTATTGTATTCCCTTTAGCGTAGCACCATCTAGTGGATGTATAGCACTACCGCAGCCACTATTGTAGCTTCTATTCAATGCGCCTTATAATGTGGTGCACCCTATATATGAAAAACTATTTTAAAATAGGCCATTCATTGAATGTGCTATTTATAATCCGAAGCGCCTTATAATGCAGAAAATATGGTAATTTATCATGCACACGTGGCATCATTATTCGATTCAATGTTCAGTATAGCTCATATATTCTGAGGTAATATTTAACTGCTTTGTTACTGTGCATGAACCGCAGCGTTATGAGAGACCTGTTCCTCATGTATCGTATGTGAGCGGTGTTTCCCAACCATAATTGAGCCAAGCTTCTGCCATTTAATGGAAGAAAATTAAAATTTTCTGCCCGTAACTATACACTGCTGGCATTGATCGATGAAAAAAGATACCTTTGTAATTAATAAATAATCATTTTCAGACAATAAAGTGCAATTAGATAATTTCCTGTGGCATCCTTGATGATCTCACATGGCACACTGGTTGATCTATCTGATGATGCAAGTGGATTTATCAAGGAAGTAATCTGCCGTTCGCAGGGACCACATCCATACATATTTTGTCCCTGCATAGCAATATATAACTAGCTAAATGAAGCTAAAGAGCAATCTCTATCCTGTTTTTTGGGATGCCAGCCACAGCACATGACAAATGGCTCCAATATGGATTCATTAGGGGCTGTTTGTAAAAGCTTGCAATATTTACGAGGGCATTGCAATCATATTCATCCGTACTATGTTGCTCTCAATCATTTTACTATCATGGTTTTATTATGATAAGAACCCGACCAGCCACAACATGACCATTTTTTATAATATGTTATCCAATACATGAGTTGAGATGCCCTCAGTGTTGTCGCGTTTAACTGGTGGGCGGAGCAGCACCTTACTGCAATCAGTCTACTGCGCCAGTCGACAATAAGCAATGGCTGCTATTTACATGCGGCTCCAGCGGAAGGTATTTTGGATTCAGTCTTGTCGTCAGCTCCAGGAGTATTTATAAGGTTGGTTATTCCTTCCTGTGTTTTCACAGGTAAGTTTGTTTCTGTTGAAGTACTTCTGTGATTTTGTGTTCTCATTTTCTATCCCGTGTAGATAGATTTGGCTTTTGTTTGTGTCCCATGTATCTTCCTTCCACTGTGGCTCCGTCCATCGCCTTTCTGTTGGTTTTAGTGTCCACATGTAGTTTTTTTAACGATGACTGTTTTTCCTTGTTGTTGTGCGTTTCCACTTTATTTGTTGTATCTTCTTCTTACTTGTGTTCAAATTTTTATATCTGGTCCAATTATTGCAGAATACTGGGAACAAAATGAACCATGTGGACGTGAAGCAATTAGGACAGGTTTTGTCTGACCAGCGAATGTTGGTGGGTCAGCAGGACCATTTTATTGAGGTTATGGAGGCCATAACAGCATTGACTTGAGGCGTGTTGAGGCTCTGGGTGTGTGTGCCATTTGTTCAGGGTCAGGCTTCTATTCCTAATTTCACGGTTCCCAGTTCAGCTGCTATGATTGTAGCTTCCGGTGCTAATCAGTTCTGTTTTCGAGAACCCAACATTCCGGATCCCACTCGTTATTCCATGGAACTTGGTAGTTGTGGGCAATTTCTACACTGGTGTTCATTAGTTTTTGATCAACCAAAGCTAGCATATTTCAACGACTTGACTAAGGTGGCTTTCACCATGACTTTGCTCCGTGATAAAGCTACAATATGCACCATAGCGATAAGAAACCGGTGTTTGTCTGTTCTTACCTGCCTTTATAGCCGAAATAAGAAAAGATCAAAATCAAACACCTGCTCATTAAACGTGTGTTCCGCATCCATGGCATTCTGTGCGATTTGGTGTCCAATTCACATCCCAGGCCTGGAGAGAGCTCCAGAGAGCTATGGTAGACCGAGCCAGGCTCTTTTTTGGAATGTGTTGTAGCCATAAAAATCCAAGTTTGTGATTATTTGCTAAAAACAACAATGTTTATCAGTTTGAATGTGTGTGTGTGTTGTATATATATATATATATATATACACACACACACACACACACACACACCCATACAGGTATATATGCATGCATGCACACTTTTGAAGGCAGCAACATGTTTTAAGATCACCTTTCAGAGGGAAGAGGTAGGGATCTCCAGTTGGACCAAAGAGGGATGTGCCATCATCACCGTCGTGTTTAGGATTGTCATTTAATGAGGTGTTACCACCTGGAAAGAAAATTAACAAGGGATTAACTCGCTATTGTAATCAACATGCATCCATCCATCGACTTGACTGCTTGTTCTCATTACAGTTGCTGGAAAATAATCTCATCTGACTTTTGGAGAGAGGAAGTGTGAATCCTGGACTGGTCAACAGTCAATTACAGTGCAGATATAAACAATCAATATTCAATTAAGTTAGGATGCCTGTTTTTTAAATGTGGGAGGAATGAGGATGCGGAGAAAATTTGTTTTGTCACGGGAATAACATGAAAACCCCGCACAGAGATCTTGCAATGCAGATTCAAACCATGTCAGTACATGTCTACTTTAGCGTTACATAGGAGATGGGTTTCATTAATAATATCCTATAGAAGGAACATAGAGAGTAGAAAATAGGACAGGACAGGGATAGTGAGCCTGGCAGCGCTACAGACTGGTGGTGCAAGTGGTGAGGCAGTTCCAAAATACCTCTAGGGTCTTTAGAATGAAAATGAGAGGACTGTCCAAGGAGTTAATCAAAAGGGATGTGAAAGTAGCCCCACACCAAGCAACTCGGCCCAGTAGGCGTATCCATAGAGATACATTACTGAACACCATCACACATGCATGTTATCCATCTGGTGTTTGGAGTTCCTGCGCAGGCACAATTAGGACAGGTGGACTCAGGCTCATCCATCCGAGAGGGAGGGGCGGGACAGGGCACCCACCCCAATGGGAAACCATTTGAGAGGACTGAATCCACTGCCAGGGACCTTGCCCCACCGGATCACCGCCCAGAAGATGAGACTGGGATGGGGTAACCACCATGCCAAGCCTATGACCAGTGCACCCTGCTACGACTACTCGGCCACAAAAGCATATACGTGTACAAGTACATAATGGGGTGCATTAAAAACTGTAGGAGCCAAGCCTACCTCGCCTTGTATCCTCATGGGGCAGGTCAGAGAAGTGGAGCGGCAGAGAAGTGTGCTATAACTCGCATCAACCCGATGGAAACCCTGCGTACGAATGTGCCTAAAAGTGATGGTTGAGGATATGCACTGAGTGTTTATTGTAAATAGCGACACTCCTGCCAAACAATCATGGCCAACGCTTACGGCACCCGAAAGCTCCATGCCACCCCGAGTTGGAGCTCAGCACCCTAAACCTGAAGGTGCCAATCCTCACAGGGCTGATGGAGGACCCAAGGTGCACCTAAAGGAGTTAGACTGAGGATAATTATAGGGCAACTGTGAAGAGTGAATTTGAAACGATCCTATACCAGCTGCCAAAACAGCATCCATGTGAACCACTACACTATCTATCACTTCTTACTAAGCTAAATAATACTAGAACAGAATTCGATAGAGAGCAGACCTCTGCCACATGACCAAAAATGGGAAAAATGAATAAAGCGTTGTTTCTGTTTGTGTTTGTGGACAGCAATAAATGGCCTTGATTGTGCTTTTATGCTTGGTAGACATAATCTTACACTCTGGTGGAAAACATATTCATGTGTTAACTATGATGTAACTTTTTCCAAAAATATTTTGCTCGAGGTGTAACATTCATACAAAAAATGACGCTGTCAAAATGAATCTTCGATCAAGAATATGGACGTTTTGACACTTCATAAAAAGTGATAGACAAAAGTCTCTTTCACTGACCTCTGTAGCCTCCACCACCGCCTCCGGCAATACAGCCACCTCCACCACCCCCAAAGCCACCTCGTGTCTGCCAGAACTTTTGACAGGCCTGTCCTCCCTGTCCCCCCAACAGCAGAGGTCTGCCGCCCTGACTGACAGGAGCACTGGCATTCCATCCTCCACCCCCACCTGTCACCAGATATAACATACATTATGTCTCATATGATAAAGTCATCAAAATCATATTTGGTCTGTGTCTGAGTGTAATGACCAAAGAGAATGACATTTGATTGATGAGTATTAATCAGGGACAGCGGTTACTACAGTGGACAGCTTATCATGTTGTCAGGTTGCAGGGTGCATGAAAGGGTTAATTATTCTCATGAATACAGTTCAGCTGTCTTTTTTTTTTTGTTTGTTTTTGTTTCAGAGATACAGTATAAAAGAGGTGCGCCGCCCGCTTGTCCTAATAATTGACACTAATGGTGTTGTGAGATGTGACATTAGTTCAGCCTTTCCATTTTGAACTGCGGCCAGACGGTCCCAAAGATGATAACTGGGAAAATTATCACGTCAAAATGATGATCATAGATGTGATGAAGTCACAGCGGCACTAAATAGCAATTGCTATGCTTTGCCAACTAAAAGGGAGAGCATTTAGCCCCATTTCCACAACAAACTTGTTTCATCAAGATTTTTTAGATACACTTTTGATTAGTAAAACATGTCAAAAGTGTATCTAAAAATTCGCTACATCCCCCTTTTTAAGTAACAGTTTTTTGTGTTTCATCATAATGGGATCAAGGGGAAAAAATAAAATAAAATTGTATATATATATATATATATATATATATATATATATATATAATCTTCTATTAACATATAACATGTACATCACAATAAATTCTTGTTCTTAATCTTTTGGAAGGAAAAGTGATGATGTGGTTTTTAAATAAGTGTGCAACCGTTTTATTGTTGGTGTGTGGCTGCATTGCGAATTAACCATTTACATCACATTTAAACTTGTGTGACAGTTGTAACAGGTTGTGTGCACACCATGTGCGCAAAATATGTCATTTGAATAGAGGGGTGTAGACTTTTTATATGCATTGACTGAGCAGGGGTGTCGCCATTTAAATGCTGTAAATTGAAAATACGACATACATGAGGTCCCTGCAATTGTATCTTTTAGCCCTGCCAACGGCAGTTTGTTTCATTGCTGCCATCAGTCTTGTCTCACATGCAATGATCTCCTTACTGTGGACAATGGACCTCTGCCACAAAGTAAATAAAAGAGAGAGAGAGCATGGCTGTTTCGCTATGACAATAAGTCGCTGCTATAAGTCAAGGCCCAGGGGCCAGATCTGGCCCGCCACATCATTTTATGTGGCCCGCGAAGGCAAATCAAGCACGTCAACTTCCATGATGCTTGCTAAAATCTGAATCAAAATTTCAAATTGCCATCTGTAATCCATAAAAACAACAATAATAACAACAATAATAATAATCATAGCGATATTGCAAGCATTTTGTCGTTACCAAACCCCCTATTATATTAAGGTAAACACTGTTTGAAAAAGCCATTTTTCTTGACTTTTGATTTCAAAACTAGTTATCTATCAATCTGTTGTGTGCTGAGTATGTAATATGTGGAGGTGATTAAACATTTATATGGATTCACAAAATTCACAGTCATAACGTAACGGCCCGCAACAAAAATGAGTTTGACACCCCGATGTACAGTATACTGTAGGTGGAAAGGCCTATAAATGTAGTGAATTTAACAGTTGTAGAAACATCGGTGCACTACATATCTGGACCACAAGCACTGAGAACTTTGCTCAGTATTTGGATAAACCAAAATATTACATGCAATCCTAACACTCCACTGGACGCACGACGTGATCCCATACACAGGCAATGCAGACAGCATGCTTTTATTTTTTTTACTTTTACATGTCTTGAAGTCTTTTGTTTGTAAATGCCTTCAAATGTTTGTTTTTTGTTTTTTAATTATGTGAACCTCATGGAGTTGCCTTGTGCATGAAATGTGCTATAAAAAAAGAAAATAATAATAATGCTGCCTTGCCTATATCCAGAGGTGGCAAATACAGGTCCGGAAAAAAAAAAAAGAAACTTGCCACAGTTTGGCTTTGGCCACAGGTGCCTCAACTCAAGAGCTTGTTTACCCCTGCCAGTTGAGCAGAAGCAACTGTGACTTAAGCCAAACTGTGACAGGGTTTTGACTTTATCGACTTGGATTTCCCACACTAAAAACTACAATGGTACACATTTTGTTCAATGAACCCTTTCATGCAGTCTGGAACCTCATAACGTGATAAGCTGTCCACTGTCGTAAGCGCTGTCCCTGAAAGGGTTAATATTTGTCTGACATAAAGCAGAGCTTCATTTCTTATTAAATGCAGCATTTTCGACCAACAAACAGACGGTTGCTCTTACAACCATACAGGAACAAGATAAAGATGGGTGTAACATACCAGCAGCATTTGACTTCCCATTGCGACCCGGTTGGCTGAGGTCATAGTCCATCTGTTCTAGCTGGCTCTCTGATTGGCTGCTGTAGCCTCGGCCCCCTCCCCCACCAGCGATGATGAGAGGGATGTGAAACCCACTGCGCACCTGGGTAATCATAAGGTATTATTTCGTGACCGCTGGTAGTGTCCCTTGCTGTTGCCATGTCAACATCCTTCCTCAATCTGTGTCACTATGAGAACTACTCGAATGTAGAACTAGTTCTAAGCTATTGTGTAAAATGTGTCGTATGATTTCATTGAAGAGTGTCGTTTCTTGCCGAGTGCCCCTCAAGTTCCTGAGGACATCATTCCTTAGTGATCTTCTCACCTTGAACACATAGGTGGCCCCACCGCCTCCTCCTCCTCCACCCTTCACTTGAGTCTTATTCAGCAACGGGGCAGTCTGTTCCAAGCAGATCTTATTCAGCATGGCGTTGGACTGTGGGTAAAGAGACATTGAGAGAGCTTACAAAGGAATGCTTCCATTCGGTGGTAGTTGTGTCAGGAAAGAGTTATTAGTTATTGAACTCCAACGGCAAAGACAATTTAAGTGGGACAGAAGTTTTCCCTGTTCCTCTGTTTACAGTCATTGTAACTCTGTGACAGAGCATCTGGATCACAGTGGGAGTCAACATTCCCTGAGTGAAAGTCATACAATGTCCGAGGTAACTTTGATTACACTGAAAAATAATACAAGCTTTTGATTAAACTCAAAAGTGACAATGTCACAGTGCACACATAGCATGGACACGTGTTTTGAGAGGCGGACCTGAAGGGGAGAGCTTCTTGTGATTTTTTTTTTTTTTTCACCCATTTCCAAGTACTGTCGCTGTAAATCACTTGGATTTTTGCGCAATTCTTATGACTGCATCTCTTTTACTATTTATTTTGTCTTTTTGTCCTCGAGAACATTTTTCTGCAAGTAAGATGATACAAACATTTGATGTTTTTTTTTTTTATCAGGGAATACAAAAAAAATGTAAAATTATGAAATGAAGTGCTTATAACAAGTCAGCAAACCCCTCATCGAAAGCAATATATATTTTTTTTTTTTTGTGAAAGAGACCAAGACAAATAAATTCAAATCTTTTTCCACCATCACTGTGAGCTATAACCTGCTCAACTGAAATGTATTGCTTTTAATCTTTTCGAGAGGAGAACTCAAATGAGCAAAATAATGTGGTTGCACAAGTTGGATATGGCTGTGTTCAGAATTAACCAATCACATTCAAAGTCATGTTAAATCGGAGTCGGCACACAGCTGCCACTTTATAAAGTGCCACTGGTTAACTCCAAATAAAGCTGTTGCAGAAGGCTTTTCCTCAATTTTCATCTTATTTATTTATTTTGCTTCCTAGCAGAACCCTAAAGGATTTTACGCCAATACTGACGACAGTTTAGAATTGTTCATTATTCCTTCCGCCGTGTGGAAGGCCCCCAGTTCCTTCTGAAGAAAAAATAGACCCACGATCATGCTTCACTGTAGGGTTGGTGTTCTTGTGGTGATGAGCAGTGTTATGTTTGCGTCAAACACCCCTTGTGGAATTATGAGCCAAAAGTTGAACCTCGGTTTCATTAGACCAGGGGTGCCCAAACTTTTTGGACCGAAGATCTACTTTTCGATCAGCCAACCTCCCAGGATCGCCCCTTACCGCGCACGTGTACAAGTGTTTCCACCCAAGTGCTCTCTTGCTTGCGAAAGAAAGATAAATTTGGACCAATGCAGATCCAATCTCTCAATAGATCACCAAACTATTGTGTAATGGGCTTCCCTTGACACTTAGATTCAGAGCAGTGGACAATTTGGTTACTCCAGTCGAACCTCCTTGCAATGTAACCCCTTTACAAGGATTTCACCCCTATATTGTTCATATTTCAACGTTATGATTTCACTGAAATAGTTTTCCATTTGCTGATTTTGCTTACGAGTACCTTTAAAACCTAAACTTCATTATAACGGCCAGATTTTTTCCCACAAAATCGTGAAAAGGCCTTCGCTATGACGAAACGTGGGAAGCTAACTGCCGCCAAGACCTTACTTAGGCAGTTGCCAAGGGCGGGTAACATTTGCTGACTGAACATTTTCAGAGATGAAGTAGGAAGGCTATATTTGTTTTTTTCCATGTCAAAATAATTTTTTTTCCTCAAGTATATGTATTTGTAATTGACACGATCATACTGTGTTACATGTTCATGTTTTTCTACAAACGTTTATACTGTCTTATACAGCGTAGATGGTGGCCATTTTATCGGAAATGGTTACAACGAACAACCATTTTAACATACAGATTCGTCATGTCACTTAAGGTACAGTAGGTTGTAACGAGGTTCGTCTGTAGTTCGCCTGAATGTGTGGCTGATTGAATCAAGTCAAGACACCACAAACCCGTGGTTTACAATGTAAACTAGAAACAAAAAGGTGTTTCTAGTTTGCATTGTGAACGTAAACGTTTGCATGTGCATTGCATTGTAAACGTCCATTGATGTTTGTTCTCTGCGCTGTGTTGCAGGCTAGTTTGCTTGAGACCAATATCTTGAATAGTTAGGATATGAGGTCTTCGACCATCTGATTCGGTGGCCCGTAAAGGTCACAAATTGCTTGCCTAAATTATTTCAAGGGGAAGTGAACGTTTTTCTTTACAAGAACAAATTTGCTGTGCGCCCGCTCGTCGAAACATGACATTCTGATTAATAGTCTGCAATATAGACAAATAAATATAAATAAATCCCCTCCGTGAGCCGTCACCTTACCGTGGTGGAGGGGTTTGTGTGTCCCAATGATCCTAGGAGCTAAGTTGTCCGGGGCTTTATGCCCCTGGCAGGGTCACCCATGGCAAACAGGTTCTAGGTGAGGGACCAGACAAAGCACGGCTCAAAGACCCCTTATGACGAGTAAAATTAATGGATCGAAGTTTCCCTTGCCCGGACGCGGGTCACCGGGGCCCCCCTCTGGAGCCAGGCCTGGAGGCGGGGCTCGTTGGCGAGCGCCTGGTGGCCGGGCCTACACTCATGGGGCCCGGCCGGGCTCAGC